AAGACTCTTTTTAAGACTTGATTTTAAATTGTCTTTTTTCCCCTAATGTGCGAACTTGAAGAAAATTAGAATGAAGACTCTGCAATGAGTTATTGCATCCCGACATCTTTCCTTCTTCCTTGTTTGCTGCAGCTTCTTAGAATGGAATCTTCAGTGCTCAGGGCTTGTCTGCATGGGGAAATAGCCTGAAATAGTGATTCCTCAACAGCTATTCTGCATGAGCTCCCTGTGTGGGCACTCCTGTTCTACACTAAGGATACCGTTCTGTGGTTTAGCTTAATCCACTTATTTGGGTTTTAAATTCACATCCTAGTTTATTTTGCAGTAGCTTCCCTGTGTAGACAAGCCCTTAGACACTGTAGTGCTGGGTGCTATGGTAAAGCCTCACACAGAGAGATATTAAGTGCTTCCAGAGTGGCAAGACCTTTGGCAATCACACATCAGATTTCTTATCGATGATTCCTCCCCGCAGCTCCTTTGCAGTGCAGAATGATAAAACAATTTTCTAAAGAAATAATTAGAATACTTCATAGCTCGTATATAATGCTTTTGATCCATAGCTCTCAAAGCCCCTTACAATGGAAAGGAGAAATAATTGTCCTCATTTTATAGTTATTTTTCATTTGTGATATCAATTATCTAGTTCTGCTGTGGTTTTCTTTTTTTAAATGAAAGGAAAACAGTATATGTATTGGTTCTGTTTTTATGGCATGGATGACACAGAAACAGGAAGGTTAGGGTGCCTCTCCTGTTCAGTTCTCTTCTCAGTTTTACTGCAGTAAAATAAAAAAGGTAACAAGCAATAGTGTTTGATTTTTACATTGGAGCAACTTTAGTTCCATAACATTGTACCGAGGTTATAATCACAGAATGTCATGTATATATGGATGCATACATAGAACACCACTGAAAGGCAGCCACCTCAGAACAGACAGTTGGCAATCTACTAGCAAACAGCATTACTGTGAGGAATGTGGCAAATCTGACAAGTGCCATGGGATCCTTAGTGTTCATGTACAGCAGTGTGGAATCAAGGTTTGAAGGTATTGTTACCTCTTTTGACCAGAGCATTTAGCCAGTTTGGGGGGTCATGGGTTGTTCCCATTAGGAGAAACTGACCATGGAGTCAGGTATTTCTGTTTATTTACCAGAAATACACAAATTCTTGTTTCCCTGAACACAGCAGGAGGTGGTTTCTTTCCTCACAAAGAACAGGAGTACTTGTGGCACCTTAGAGACTAACAAATTTATTAGAGCATAAGCTTTCGTGGGCTACTGCCCACTTCTTCGGATGCATATAGAGTGGAACATATATTGAGGAGATATATATATACACACATACAGAGAGCATGAACAGGTGGGAGTTATCTTACCAACTCTGAGAGGCCAATTAAGTAAGAGAAACATTTTTTTGAAGTGATAATCAAGCTAGCCCAGTACAGACAGTTTGATAAGAAGTGTGAGAATACTTACAAGGGGAGATAGATTCAATGTTTGTAATGGCTCAGCCATTCCCAGTCCTTATTCAATCCCGAGTTGATTGTATCTAGTTTGCATATCAATTCCAGCTCAGCAGTCTCTTGTTGGAGTCTGTTTTTGAAGTTTTTCTGTTGTAAGATAGCCACCCGCAGGTCTGTCATTGAATGGCCAGACAGGTTAAAGTGTTCTCCCACTGGTTTTTGAGTATTATGATTCCTGATGTCAGATTTGTGTCCATTAATTCTTTTGCGTAGAGACTGCCCGGTTTGGCCAATGTACATGGCAGAGGGGCATTGCTGGCACATGATGGCATATATCACATTGGTAGATGTGCAGGTGAATGAGCCCCTGATGGTATGGCTGATGTGATTAGTTCCTATGATGGTGTCACTTGAATAGATATGTGGACAGAGTTGGCATCGGGATTTGTTACAAGGATAGGTTCCTGGG